GGGAAGATAAAATTCTGAAGGACTCCAATGGCATTTTACAGAATCACAGAATGGGTCAAGCTGGATGGGACCACAATGGGTCCAACATTCCTGCTCAAGCACAATCCCAGAGGACACTGCACAGAATTGTGTCCAGATGGGTCTGGAATATCTTCAGTGAGGGAGACTCCACACACTTGCTGAGCAACCTGTTCATTGCCCACTCACTGCCCAGCAAAGATCTTCCTCAAGTTCAGCTGGAACTTCTTGTGCACCAGTATAAATTCGATATTGATTGTGCCCCCCTTGAGACAATGAAAACAAAAATAATCTGCTTCATAATACAGAATCTATTAGCAACTGTAAACTACATAATCAGCATTTCCTGCCTGCAGGATACAAATGGGACATCTGACCTGGCTGGGCAGGGAAGGGGAATACTGGTGAATTTAGAACTTTGACCCAATGGCATTCACAGATTTCTGTGCCAAAAATATATTCCCATTACGCTGTTGGCCTAAACAAAACCACTGACATGAGCCAGAGAAGGAGGCAGTGCTACAGAGGGGCCCTTTCCTGGGAGCACCCACCAGGGATTTTAGGAGCATCCTCACTGTGGGGCAGGAGGTGAAATAGTGCTGCATGTCCCAAACTGTGCTTCCCCCCTGAAATGAGACTTAACTTTGGAAGTTTGTGGCCCTGCAGGCCCTGTTTGTGTGGCCACACACTTGGCCAGTGCTGTGAGCTATAGAAAGAAATGGGATGTGCAGTGAACTGTGGCACCTTGGCAGGGAGGGCACTGGGGATTTCAGCTCTCCACTTTGGCAGCCAGGGTGGAGCAGCTCCAACCAAGCTCCTGCACACCACAGGGTCCAAGTGTCCCACACAACACTGACATTATTAAACTGTTGCTACACAGGTAATTTGTGAAACTGGCAGAATTCCAGCTGTGGTGGTTCCCTCTCCTCGGCTGCAATTAAAGCTGGGCTGTCAGCCCTTGGCATTCAGAGAAATACCAGTTTACAGCCCATGAAGGACAGCTACAGCTTTCATCCCTCAAATATATTTATTCATGAAATGCTCTTGCAGAGTTTAAGTTTGGGGTATTAAAAATAAAAGTTCAGTGCTTCTCTTCATCCTGGACTTTGAACTGGTTCTCTGTAAAGCTCCCCCACCCCTGCTATTTTTAAATACCTAAATGTCCATAAAACACAGGGAAAATACTGATATGTGCCAGGTGCTGAAAATAAGCACCATGCTTCAAACACCCTTTGATAAACAGCAGATGAAACAGATTCCTTCCATGGTGCTTTTGCTGGGGCAGACTTCTGCTGAATTTCCTGGGATTCTGGAAGGGCTCTGTATAATAAAGGAAGCTGTACCTGAGACCATCTATAAATTCCACTGTTTAACAGACACATGTGAGAGGAGGGCAGGTGCTGAGCTGTGGTAAGTTTGCTTAAATTTTCAGGTGCTAGGAAAAAAATCCAATTGTTTCATTAATAAAATGACACCAAGAAGCAGACCTTGGGGTAATGGCCTTTTAAATTTTTTACAGCAGCACACAGACCCAATTTTACCTCTATTTGAATAAAGATGGACAGGGCAGGAGCAGGGATGGACTCCTGTAACAAGATCAGTTTACAAGGAAAGAAGAGAGGAGAGGAAGCAACAGAGTCCTGAGGACAAGAAATGCCCCAAGGCCCAGGCACAGCTCTGCCCTCCAGACCCTCCTCAGCTTCTCCCACCAGAACATCTGGCTGTGGCTTTTCCATGCCAGGGCATTTTTCTCCCTCTTCAACAGAGGTTTGTTGATGACATTGAACTGTGTTATTTTGCTTATATCTTCTATATTTCAAATGTATGTGAAGTCACATGGATATAAGTTTCTGATTTGAGGTAATTCTATAGGGCATTTATCTACATTTTTGGTAGAGAAGGATAAGTACCACTTGTTAGAAACAATGACAAAATTTCAACTTTATTTTCATTTGAAACCATCAGTTTATCCTGACTGGAGTCAATAATGCTTCTATCAAGGCCTTCATTGGAAAGGGTTTCTCAGAACAAGGACAGATTTTCTAATTAAACCAGACACCCCATCTCATGTGGAGCTTTCCCACATCTAAAGAGGGAAAGTGATTATTTCGAGTCCTCTTTCTTGTTCATCTCTGTCATTGTCTTGCAGGACAGGAAAAATAAAGAAAATTCTGTCCTGACAGATCAGAAAAGGGCTTTGTACAATTCCTCTGACACACAAGTACATGATGGAGATGAAGACAACAAATACTGGGAGGGAGAGAACAGCTGCAATGCAGAAACAGGGTTGTCCATCACTCCAGGAGGACAAATGGAAATTATGAATACAGTAGCAACAAATAGAATCAGTTTTGCTCAAAAGAGAATCAAAATCAGCCAGATAATGCTCAACATTTGTACACCACATGAAAAATTAAATAATTTTAGAGTAGCTCCACATACTGTACAGCTCCTTATTGCACTGCCAAAAAAAAAAAAAAAAAAAAAAAAAAAAAAAAAAAAAAAAAAAAAAAAAAAAAAAAAAAAAAAAAAAAAAAAGAAAAGAAGAAGAAAGAAATTGAAGCACTGAAATGGCAAACGAGGACAAACTGTCCGCACAGAAGTTTTCACAAAGGTGAGAAACAAGCTTTATGCTTCAGCATGTTTCCTCCAAGGGCTGCAGCAGCAGTGATGGTTTCCTGCTCCTGACAGGAGGTTCAGGGCCTTTTCTCTTCTGGTTTCCATGATGCTTCCTGTGGCTGTGCTCCCAGACACTGCAGTCCATGCTCTGAGCTGCTCAGGCTCCTCAGCTCCCTCAAACCAGCATCTCTCTGCAAGGAGTGCTCCTTTTCTTCTCGCTGGTCAAATCCACTGAAGACAACAGCCCACAGCTAGGACTAGGAGGGAAAACAATCAGGTCAGATTGCAAATATCATCCATGGAGGTGGAGGGTCCATTTCAAACAGGAGGTGCCTCAGCATCCTGGGAGAAATACCACAAGATGGTCACCTTAAAATGTGACCCAAAGGAAAGGCTCCTGCAGGTCTGGGGAAACTCAAAGACTTGAAGCCAGAGTCTGCATCATCCTTCCAGTGCTTTACATTGACCACTGAGCCCCCAGGTTCACAGTCCCACTTTGGGCACCTCAGTTCAGGAGGGACATTGAGGGGCTGGAGCGTGTCCAGGGAAGGGAACGGAGCTGGGGAAGGGGCTGGAGCTCAGGTCTGAGGAGGAGCAGCTGAGGGAGCTGGGGGGGCCCAGCCTGGAGAAAAGGAGGCTCAGGGGGATATTCTGGCTCTGCACAACTCCTGACAGGAGGAGACAGCCAGGCGAGGGTCAGGCTCTTTTCTCACGTAATAGTAACATGACAAAAGGAAATGGTCTCAGCTTGTGTCAGGGGGATTTAGATTGGATATTAGGAACAATTCCCTCACCAAAAGTGCTATCAACCATTGGAATAGGCTGCCCACTATGCAGTCTCTGGAGGCATTTAAAAGTCACAGATGTGACCCTTGGGGACATGGTTTAGAGGTAGGTTCACAGTTGGACTCTACCTCAGAGCTCTCTTCCAACAAAAATAATCCCATGATTCTGAGGCTCTCTGAAACAAAGACTATTTTTTTTTTTAAACAATCATCTCAGGTGTGACAAACTTCTCCAGCTCAAACTCCATGTTTACACTCAAGTTTACAAAAGTGGATGACTCACATCTTTCCCCTCTGTTATGCCACAGTAAACACCTACACGTGGTTTCTTCCACCCAGGTGAGTGACAACATCGACCCAAATTCCCAAGCACACACAGTCATAGTTTCTACATCAAGTTTTGCCCAGTGACATCACTCAATATTTTTATCAAATGTTGCTGAGTCATGGGATTAGTGACATTTCTATCTGTTGTTACCAGACTATTACATTGATGGTGTTTTGAGGGAATTTTAACTTTCAAACTTTCAGTCCTGACCTAATGCCTGACAATATGTGAAACATCTTTACTGGATCTTCCTGGAGCTGTAATCTCCAAGTTGCACAGTCTCTCCTGCCCCAAATGACCCATTTCAGAGAGGAGGAATAGCTGCCTTAAACCCTTTATTTTCCCCTCATAAGTCACATACATTTGAACACAGAGTCACTGGAAGACCCTCTGCAGCTTCAATACAAGGATCATAACTGAGTAATAGACTGGATAAAAGGCAAAGAAATGATCTTTCCCATGTCCAAACTGGACTGACACAGTTTCTTTTGGCAGACAGCAAAAACACTGCAGGTAATTCTTGAGACACCTAAAGGGCATTCCCTTTTATAAATACTGTGTGAAACAACTAAGCCTTGGTACCAAAAGAAATCTAAGGACAACAGACAAAAGTTTTCCAGTAGAGGTAGGAAACACCAGCTCAGTGATGTCAACACTTCAATTCTGCCAAAGTTTTTGTAGGAAGCTGCTAAAACACAGTTTGTTTCCTTAAGGTTGAATTGCTTTAATGAATTGTTCTGATATTTAAAAGAACCTTAAACTCTCATGAGTGCACATCAATTAGCATCAAACACATTGGCTGGGCTCTGAGTGGTTTCCATCCCTCAGATGAAAGCAGAACAATCCTCTGACATCCTAAAGCAGTCCTGCTGGCATACACATCCATATTTTTGTGAAGGCAGCAAACAGGTCATTATATTGAGATTTCTGATTCCTAATTCTGTTCCTTCCTTATTCAGTGACCTTAAAGTAAATCTAATATGGGGGGAAGAAAGTTACTGGGACTGTCTACCAAAAGGGATTTGACAGCTGCAGGTGAAGAGATTGGTTAAAAATACTACTTTTAACTTTGTAACCACAGCAGTAGGTTATGCAGGAATCACCAAAATTTATTGATTGCCACTTCTGATCTTTAGCAGCTTAATATCCTGAGCAGACTTTTGAGATGCATGTATGTCCTTCAGCAAGAATTTTAATTTGAAAAATGTTACCTGGTGTAAGATGTAGTGGATTTTTCCATTCTTCCAACATACAAACAAGGTTTGTAAATTGGTATATTAGCCATTTATGGGAAAATAAATAAACTTTACCTTTTCTAGACCCCACTTCCGCCTTGATGAAAGGCAGTTCATCCTTAAGGCTTCTCTTGTCTGCAGATTTAAATAAAAAATATTAAAGGGACCAGTTTCTCAAGGTGTAGAAAATGCTCATATAATCCAGAATAAGTACCTTTCTGTCCAGAAGTGTCCCAAACAACAGGATGAAGAATCCCTAAGAAATTACAAAACCAGTTAACAAAACTAGCATAAGCACATGTTATTTCTTAAGTATTTCTAGATGACTTTTCATTAAGGACAGATCTCATCACCTGTGATTCAGGTAACAGCAATGCACAAAATAGGTTTATCCTCCCAGGTCTCTGGGAATATCAGGAATGGATATAACCTGTGTTAATGCTGACTATGAACTGGACTGAGGGGTAACAAACCAGGAGTTTCTCAGCCCACCGAGTGCAGCCTGATCCAAGAGCTAAGGCAGACTGGGTGTGCAGCAGTGCATCATGTAACACTGGATGTTTATGCTGATGAGTTAATCAAACCATGGAGCCAGCTATGGAATGGAATGGTTTGGGTTGGAATTGACCTTAAAGGACATCCAGTTCCAAGCCATGGGCAGGGACACCTTCCACTACACCAGGTCTCTCAGAGCCCCATCCAGCCTGGTCTTGAACATTCCCAGAGATGGGGCACCCACAGCTTCTCTGGGAAATCTGTGCCAGTGTCATCTTCACTGGAAGGGAGAATTTTCTGTGTAATTGTTAATTGATGAGGATCAGACATCTTTGCAGTTATGGACATTAAGTGGTGTATTTTACATCTAACAGAAATTAATCACAGGATTATTTCTTCATCCCACTTCAAACCAGACCAGTTTGCCCCATGACTCATCAGCACCTAAACCACCAACCCGTGATGCCTCGTGCGTGCACAAAGGGAAAGCACCGAGTGGAATGCAAACCTCCCCTGCCCAGCCACGAGCTGGTCCTGCTTTTCACACACACCTGCTGCCAGCACCTCTTTATGCCAGGCTCAAGGTCTGAGCACACACACTACTCCCAGTGTCCCAGAGCTTACCTGGAAGGCGTTCAGCAGCGCAAAGACGATGTGGAAGGCCAGAGAGCGGCTGTCGATGATTGTGGCTAACCCAAACCCCCAGGTGAGGCCCAGCAGAGGTGTCAGAAGGGCAACGTTTTTGCTGACTCGGATCACGCTGTTCAAATCCTGTGACTTGCAGCCTTCTCCAATGGAGGATCTCCCAGTCTTCACCACAACCACGACCACCACAATGAGATTCATAACAATGATGCTCAGGGCAGGTATAACAAAAGCCAAAATGGCTTTTGTCTCATACCAATTGAGCCAGCAAGCTCCACTCCTTAAATATCCATTTTTCGGTTCAGTAATAGCAACAGTGAGGATAGATATAACCAAGGGACATCCATATCCAATAGACAATGCTGCAGGTAAGAATACAGATCTTGTTATCTTAAAAAAAATTAATAATAATCCATAGAGAATTAAGAGGCCCAAGGTAAACATCCAAAAAAACAGGGCAAGATAGAAAAAGTGAAGGAAAAAAGTGACTGCCACACACAGCTGGTAGTTTAGGGCTGTATTGTGCACAATGGCTGCCAGGATGAACAGGATATCTGCGACGAGAAGCGAGGCAGCGATGTTGACCAAGCAGAAGTGGCGCATGTAGGTTATTTCGGTTTTCGTGGCGTGGTGCCAGACCACAGCCTCGATGAGGAGGCAGAGGACCAGGCTGAGAATGGACAGGCCCAGGCCCACCCGTGTGATGGCATCCAGCAGCGAGCTGCGCGGCGCGGCCGGGGCCATCAGGATGGAGAAGGAGCTGTAGGCGCGGCGCCGGTGGGCGCAGACACAAACCACGGCGGTGACGTTGTGGGCGCGCACCTCGCACGCCCGCGGGTCCCAGCGCCGCTCGGCCGAGTGCCACGCCACGCACTGAGCCCCCACCTGCTCCAGCTTGTTCAGCTTCTCAAAGGTGAGCAAAATGTTCTGGAGCTCCTCTGGCAGCAACACCGACAGCACCATCCCGTTCACAAAAGCGGGGTCTGGCTGGGTGCTCTCTAGCACGGCTCCGAGCGTTGGAAATGCAACGCTGATGGCTTTGGAAGCCCTGGGTAACCTCAGCAGCTCTTCCTCTGGAATCACCACCTGCCCAGTAATATTGCCTGTGCTACTGAACTCCATGGAAAAGTCAAAGCTCTTTCCTGAAGTGTTTCTGTGTATGCTGTAGCCTTTGGTGGCGATGAAGGGCTCCTGGATACTTTCTGACCCATTTCTTAGAAGAAGTTTCCCAGCAAATAAATTCACTGAGTCCAGTAATATTGAACCAGCATTTCTGTCCTTTACAAAAGCCCAGTTGGAAATGATGGAACTGTTCAGAATATGGTTTGCTATCCTGCTGTAGCTCTGAAACAAACAAGCAAAATAAAATTAATTTGTTTTATGATATAAGAAATCAAATATTATTCTCCTGGCAGTGCCTCCAAAAAGGCAAAGTGATTTTTATAAAAGAAATAATCCTTTTGACAATGAATATATTCCAATGACCCATCCCAGTCAAACCCCAAACATCTCATTACTAGAACTGTCATATCCTCTTCATATTCTACATCAAAAGATGATTGCAAAAGTAAACATAAAGCAAAAAAGGACACCATACTTCTATTCCAGATGCTGACCCACAGTGCAGGTCTGATTTTTACCACCCTCTCTGTATTTCTTCCTCTGTTCTCTGAGTTCACCAGGGAAAGATTTCAGCTGTTGTACAAGGCTGCCTTCCCTACAGTGTCGTACTTTAGAAAGTAATTCTTCCTTGTACTGCTAGCCCATGCCTGCAACAGCAGTTCCTGAAAACCTTTGCTTTTATAGAAATTCAATTCCACAGGCTATTTTCACCCACCACACATGAATAAGTCAAAAAGTTTCTCTGCTAACAAAATATCTGGAAATGCATTCCAGGTGATCTCCATGTGACCTGCAGCCACCACTTCATTGGACAGTGCTTGTGGAAGCTCTGTAAAGATCAGAAGTACCTCCCAAAGCCAATAAAAGTAAATACCTGCATTTTTCCTCTAGTGACATTCTCTGATAGCAGCAGGGAGATCTTCTTTAGCAATTCCACTATATCAGCAATGTTTCCTGGGATGGCTGGTGAAGACAGGATATCTGGGATGATGCATGAAAAGTCAGCTTGGCAGCTATGATTCCCAGCACCAAAATGTTTTGCTCCATCTCCAGGCTTCCCATGCCCTAGCTTTCCTCCTCCTACAAAAGGAAGATGTTCTCCAGAGCATGGGAGTTCACTTTGGGATATCCTCTGGAGGGAGGAAATAGATTTGAGACAATTAATGAAAAGAATTAAAATGAAGCCACTGCTACAACTAGGCAAGAGATGCAGTGCTGGGTGTGCAGAGAAGGTGCCAGATGGACTGAAACCAGGACCAAAGCTCACCTGAGAAGAATATCATGGTTTTGCTACACATGTGAAGGAAGGGAAAAGAACTAAATGCAGTGTCACTTGATTAAGTGACTTGATTAAGGATCTTGCAGCAGAGGAGAATCTGTCATAAATCTTCTGATTATTACACACTGTCATGCTGTTCTTTCCTCATTTTTATCCTATTGTGTTCTTATCTTATCTTGATTTAGATCCATGTGAGAAACGCCAGCCAAGTGAAAAAGGCAACTTCATTTCTGAAATATGTTTCCACACAAGACTTCCCTAGCACCTGAGATAAGATTGTGAAAGAACTAGAGCAAAGTCTGATGATGAGTGGATCTGGGAATGTTCAGCCTGGAAAAAAGAAGGCTCCAGTGGGGACCGTATCACTCTTTACAACTACCTGAAAGGTGGTAATAGTGAGGTGGGGGGTCAGGCTTTTCTCACAGGTAGCAAGTGACAGGACAAGAGGCCATGGTCTCCAGTCACATCAAGGGAGGTTTAGATATTAGGAAAATTTTCTGAAAGGGTGGTCAGGCCTTGGAACAGACTGCCCAGAAAAGTGATGGAATCACAATTCCTGGACATGCTCAAAAAAGGTATGGAGATAGCACTTGAGGACAAGGCTCAGGAGTGAAATGGTGCTGGTTGGATTAATGGTTTCATTCAATGATCTTAGAGGTCTTTTCCAACTTAAACAGTTCTTTGATTCCATGAACTCAGAGCCTGCTATCGAAGTAATCTGTTTTAGGACACCATCTCCCTTTGCTCAAGACTGAAAGCACACGGAAGGAGGGTCTGTCCTTGCAAGAAGTTACAAGCACAGGCCAAGGTGCTCAACAGCATCCTCACCTGAAAAAGGGACTGAACATCCAGGCTTGCACAAGCATCTGACAACATCTGCCACTTTCTGTCCTCACAGACAAAGCTTGTCTCCCCATGGAAGGAGGGAGAGCAAGGCTGAATACAAATTGCTCCATTATCTTGGCAGGGAATGAGATTTATGCAGGCATCTGGAAAATAAACCAAGCAGACACTGTTACAAGGTGAAAGACAGCATACCATGGTCTGTGATGCATCAGGGATGTGAAGTATTGATAACTGATGACATCTCACAAAGCATTAACCAAGGCACTGTACCTTGCTCATCACCAGTCTTTGATTTGTTTCTGAAAACCTGAAAAATAAGAAGTGGAACATAGAGTGAATATTTACATAAATAAGTAGAAGATGACTCCTTGGTACAAATCAGAAAGGATTGCAAGAGGAAAATAGTCCTTTTGAGGTGCAGAATGCAGAGCTTGTGGCTCTTGGCTGATACAGACCAACTGAGAAGTCTCTACTTAAAGTATGCCTCTGTATATGAAGCCTCCAGTTGGACCCTGCTACTGAAGTGACACTCTGAGCTCATGCACAGATCTCAGATGAAGAAGTTGTTTATGATGAGGGTGGTGAGACACTGGAACAGGCTGTCCTGACTGGCTGTGCCTGCCCCATCCCTGGAAGTGTTCAAGGTCACTTGATGGGGATTTGAGCAGCCTGGTCTAGTGAAACTTACCCTGGGAGTGGTGTGTGGCACGGCCAGGAAGAAGTGTGCAGCCCAAAGGAACAGGCAGTAGACCACCCTCACATCCATCACTACTCATTTGCTGATTTCCTCCTGGAAGAAAGATGTTAAAGAAATTCAGACATCTCTGTTTCCACTTTTTGAACACAGTCTGATTACTTGCTAGTAAAAAAGCAGCTATGCCAGAGACTGTCTTTATTGGGCTTGCAAGGTGATTTTCAGGCATTCATAATTCATTACCTTTACTGAGAATGACTTGTGAACCCTTTCTTAAAAAAAAAATAAAAAAGGAAATCTGTTCAACACTGTAAACTGTAAGTTGGAGAGCTTATTAAAGCAGCTCAGCCTGTGGGTCCCTTTTGACGTGATTTAAGACAGTCTCATCTACACTGGGTTCAATGCTCTGCTCTCCTTGGGCAGTTCCTGCCATGTGAGTAGGAAATGTGGGCACTCAGGGGCCAGAAATCAAAATATGATAAACATGGGCTAGAGTGAAGAGTTATTTCCTTTGCAGAAGGATTCAGACCTCTATTCCCTCCATGAAGTTTCCCACAGTTCTTAATAAAAGCTAAGCATCCTGGGATGCAAGTTGTTACAGCATATTTGTTGGAAAAAAATAATCAAACAAAGAAAGGGAACGAAGGAAAAACAACATGATACATCAGATCTCATTATGAGATCTTAGACATGTCCAAGGCAAAAGCAACAGCTGCTGTGGGTTCAGAAGAATTAAGACACTGATATTCTATCACCGCAAGTAGATTAATTTAATAAAAAAAAATCAAAAATAAAATGCACAAAAGTCACTAAGCTAAACCACTAAAGCAAGAAGCAAATGCACAGTGGCAAAACAGGATGACAGCTTGATCTCAAAAGAAGGCAACATGAAAAATCTCATCAAATTACCATGCCTTGAAAGAAGCCCCTCAATTTTCCCCCTGACAGACACTGATCAGCACAGATGATGCTGATGAGAAGCAGAAGGGGTCCTGCACTTGGAGAGCAGAGATGTGTTTTCCCATCCAGAGGCTCCAGTCTCTCCCATCTGATAGCATCAAAGGCCCAGGCACACAGCTGCCTACCCCTTTTATTCTCTGATGTTGTCCACCATTCTATGTTTTGAGATCTGTTTCAATTTAATAATGAAATTACCATAAAAGCAAGAGTTCAACTAATGCACTGGATTTCTAAGGTAGCTCTTAAGGAGAACCTCGTGTCAGGCTCTGAATTCAGCTCTTAATATGAAAAGCATTTTTGTATTAAAAGCTAGCAGCCACTAGCTCTTCTAAGGAAATAAAATGGATCAGGAGAAGCAAAGCAGAATGTTCAGATCAATATTGCCAAAGAACGGGAGGTGGCTGGGAAACACCTACAGGTTTGGGGTGAAAGGCTGCACCAAATTCCTTTCTGATTTCTGCAGTCATTAAATGTTTATTGTGAGCTCGTAGCCCTAATTCCATTTCAGAGCTCAGAATCCTTGAGCTGATTGTGTCTCACCACTAATTAATTCACATTCATTTTGTATTTAATCACAGGTGGAACCCCACCCAGGGCTGTTACCTCTGAGTGAGGCAGAAATCTGGGACATCTCCAAGTATCTCGGGCTCACCGAGACACCAGCCCCTGCCAGCAGGGGAACACTGAGCTCGCTCGGCTGCATTGTTTGACTCATGTTGGAAACCACCCAGTCCCAGCACTGCAACAACCTGCCACGGCAGCTGGAGAAACTCGGGGCAAAACAAGCAAGACAGCAGCAAGTCACTGTTACTTTAGGAAAAAACATGGGTATTGTGACATTGGACCACATGAAAGCATAAGCAGAGAGAGGATGATTTATCTCTTATCATAAACTATCTACTGCTGATAATCCCTGCCTTTGTAAGAAGCTGTAAGCATGACACTCCTCTATTCCAGAGGCTTCTGCTCCCTCCATGTACCAGGACACAGCTACATGAGCAGCTGAGGTGTCGATACCCTCTCATCTGAAAAGAGCTTTCTAGTAAGGGGACACTTCAACACTCAGCTCAGGAGATTGTCACCAGCTGATGATCCTACTTCTCCAATTCATTCCAAAGCCCTCAACAGAAGGGAAAAAGCAAGGAGAGAGTGGATGGGCAGTGGTTACAAGACAGCAGAGTCTCTTAAAACAGCAAAAAAATAAACTGATGATTAATTTAAAAAGTAATCCCTATATTGGTTAATGTTCACAGCATTACATTCAAATCCCTTACTCTGACTCCTGTTGGTGTAAAACTGAAGTATCTTGCAAAACTCTACAGAACTATCCTCCTTTCCTCTACCCCAAGCATATCCTTGATTTTAACTACTGGCAGGATGCACTGCACAGCAGTCTGGCCCCATGTGGGTACAGCAAACAGCGGGATCTGTCCAAACAATGACAACTACAGGAGTTACAGCCCCTGCAATGCTGGACCCAAAGTCTCTGGCCAAAAGGTCCTCCATCACCTGGAATGACCTCTCCCCCCGTCCACTGCTCCAGAAAACAAACTACAGCTAAGTTTACAGCAAAAGGTGTCCTGCACAAAAAAACTACAAGCACACTTTTTACAAAATTGACATTTATACTGACCTTGCAATGATTTGCTAGAGAAATATATTTTTACAAATACTACAAACCCACAACTTCAACATTTATCAGAAGTATTAAACCCATTATTACATAACCTAATATATTGGTTTTAGGGCTTGAATGGCCATATGGCTTGCTTAAGACTCAACAAGCCACTGTAACATGATAACCTGCCATTTGCTACCAGGCAAGCCAAAGCTGCAGCAGGAGGTTTTAGTGTTAATATGGTCATCCAAGGATAAAAAGTAAAGCTCTTAATTCTTAGAAAAGTGTCAGTTGTATTTTTAAAGGAATCATAGTTGGAAAGTGTAGCTTTAAGTGAAGCAAGTTCTAAGAGTAATCTTTACATATAGCCATAAGAAAACTCCAAATTTTCTTAAAAGTGACAACACTGATTAGAGACCAATTACAAGAAAAAAAAAAAAACAAAGGTTAATTAAAATATCTAACTATTTTCACAGATGTAAAGAAAACATAAAACTAAGGAAAGAAGTGCAAAGTAAAGACAGCCTTAGCAATTAAATGCATTTTAGATTATATATGAAGCAATTTTACAGACCAGTGATAATTCTCCAGCAGCTCTGACCAATGATGTTCTGTGGAAGTACTCACCATTTTCAGAAGTCTGGGGAATACTGCGAGCAAAGGTAACCCAGCTAGGGATTCCCAAGGTCTCAGATGTGACTCTCTAACCACTCATCTGCTGCCATTCTGCCCCAGTCTCTCTCAGTCTTACCCAGCCCTGCCTCATTTGGAGTTTTCCCATGAAGGAATAATGTTGGGCAGCAGCTGCTTCTTTTCTTGCCTGACTGGATTAAGGCTGAGGAACCTGCAGATGAAGGTATTGCACTGCAAAATGACAAAACACATTATACACACGCCCACAAATCTGCCAGATTGCCACCTCTGCCAGGAGTCCACAGGGATGAGTCAGTCACACTTGTGGGGTTGGTGCCCTTCCTCCAGGTGCAGGCAGCAGCTTCTGCTCTTCTGTATTTCATAGAATCAGGAATGGTTTGGGTTGGAAGAGACCTTTAAGACCATCCAATTCCAACCCCCTGCCATAGACAGGGGTATCTTCTACTGTCTGAGGTTGCTTTAAGCCCCCTCCAACCTGTTCTTAAACACTTCCGCGGATGGGGCACTCTGAACAATGGCTCTCTGAACAATCTCTTAAAAGACTTCAAAACATTAATGATCAAAATCTGGCCAAGTTAATGCATTATCCTCCATACATGCAAGAGTACACTACTGACAGCACCCTGTGCAGGTAAAAAGCCCAATGGACAAATAACCTTTTCTTCAGGGCTATCCCATCATAAAGGGTAACAGTTATCTGCTAACCTTGTGCCATGGTCACTTGTTGGCTCACTGAATATCACCTCACCTCCAAGAGCCAATTTGCAATAGCCAGAAATTCACAGCAAGTAGTTTATCACTACAGAAGAGCAATTCCTAACACTTCTTCACATAGGACTGACTTTAAACAGCTCTGGTCACTGATTTTTTTCTACATTCCTGCAGTGTTTTAGTCAGGAGCTTATGGGGTTACCTCTCGTTTTGTCTGCTGTCACAACTCCAGCCAGTCCTCAGCCACAGGCATGTCTCCAGTTTTAACCTAAAGATAGGTATTATTTATTGTTCTGCTTTGATACAGCCAGCCTCATATCTGGATCAAGTAGGAATTTAGCCAGGCATCATCAAGCACAGCCAACACAACCCACCTGAGAAGGTCAAATTACTTATACATGATACAATACCAGACAGAGATCAATTGAAAAAATACTTTAAAGTAAGAAAGCTAAAAACCAAGGTACGGACACGTTTCAGAAGGCTTCTTGTCTATGTCACCTGGAGCTGTGCTTCTACACACTCCCTGAACCTTTACTGTGATGGCAAAACTGAATGGCCCTTGATTCTCAACACCCCCTCAACATCAAGAGCTCTCTGGAGGACACAAAGTCCAGCACCCTGCAGCCCTCAGATACCCACACGCTTCTCCCAGAAAGAAGCTGTGCCAATCTGGGCTCCCAGGGGGCTTGGAAAGAGATAGAAACCATGACTCCCAACAAAGAGGGAACCCCAAACCCTGACTCCAGCAGCATCAGTCTCATGCTTTTTGGGGTTGTTTGCATTCCTCAGGCACCTACAGGGAGGGGTTTGTCTTCTCAGCTCTTGCAAAATCCAATTACCCAAGATCTGCAACCAGCCATGCTCATTACATGCTTTCTCAGAGATCAGAAACGTCTTGGATAACTTTTAGAGCAGCCAAAAGGCAGCTGTGTGAACCTGGGTTTACTATTTCCTTTGGAAAGAGGTAACAACAGACTTGTGCTATCTTAATGAATACAAGGTATTTATTTAAAAGTTCAACAAATACTTTGCTATACAATTAAAATCTTGCAATAATCACAGGTTTCCAACAGAAATTAACTTCCATGAATATTAATGAAAAAAATTCATCTTTGTGGGAAAAAAAAAAATCAAGTACACCTGTAATTTTGCTTTTTTTAAACTATACCTTGTGTACTACCAAAAGATTTTTAGAGAATCTTTAGACTGAATGAAAACCTGACAGTTTAAAAATGCCCTTCTGCTGTTCTGCTCTTTATGTGCCTATTCCATCTTCCATATCCCTATTAAACATGCCATATCCTCAGTTTTCAGTCCTTCACTATATACTTAAGAGGGAATTCAAACATGCATTTATCCATCGTACTGAGTGGCAAGAGGGATCTTAAATAAAGCCTCTGAAGATGCACAGTAAGGTCAGTTCGATATGGGCCAAGAAGAAAAAAATGGGGGAATTAACAGATCCTGAGAAGTTAAAAACTCCCAGTTACCTTTGCAAAGGAAAACGGAGCTTTCCAACTGTTTGGATCCTAAGCCACCCTGTTATAAGGAGCCAGAGCATCCCAGTGAGTAAATGGAAATCTGAAAACTTTAAAGGGGACTATTATAAATACTTTGCTTCCACCCCCTATACTCCTTCTTGGAAAGAATTTAAGGGCATACAAGACAATCCTGAACAGAAGTGAACAGATGCCTGAAGAGGTTTTTATACTCATTTTATTTGCTGAGTTTGGATAGCATGCATCATTTTACAGCACCAGTAGACAAGTCAGTGAAGCACACTGCTCTTAGGAACTTGTACTGTGGAATGTCTCCTAAACTATTACCCTCTCCCCCCTCCACTCCAGTATGTAACACTAGCTGAAGACAAGACAGACACACATCAGGGAAACTTCCTTATGGCTACAAATACTCATAGCAGCGACTTTTACAGGAGGGTTTATTAAAGCAAGTCATTGCACTTGGGTCATTTATTGCTATAGCGAACAAAGGCCATTAAATAACAAACACCTCTCATTTGTGGCTTTAACTGATTGTCTTGTTCTGTTCATCCTCTGCAAGCTCACACACAGGGCACAATTTCTGCAGAGCAATCCCTTCCAAGATTTGTTTTGTGCTCCAATCACAGTGGAGAGCTTGTATAACAAAATTGGGTCCTTCATTAGGCTCAATCCTTGTTTTTCATCACCTGCTTTACAGGCATGAATTCCAGGCATGACT